GAAGGTGTGTGTGTGTGTGTGTGCGTATGTGGCTCGTAGACCGCTTCTTGGTTGATTTGGAATCAGGATTTCTGGTCAACTCGCCCTGGGTGAACTGCCAATGGTTCGCCGAGCGGGTTGGTTTTTCTTGTGGAAGCAAATCTGTGCAGCACGAGAAGGCAGTGAGTAGGGAGGGCTTCCTCAGTAGAGGCTCCTACGGGATTAAACTTCTCATATTACCTTCAATGAGAAAGATCTGGTCGATGATACCTTCACGTGGGCCAGAGGTGTTTACCCACGACTAGAATGAGCGATCGAAAACCAGTGCCCTGGAGCTATTACCACCGGATTGGTTGACCACTGATAGTTGACCTAGGGAAGTTAGTCAAAAAAAGCTGGTTTCACAGAAAAAATAACCCGGAGAAGTGGCTTACGAATCACATTTTCGTCTGCTAATTCTGATTTTGGTCACCTTACGGTTCCTGCTTCAACTAACTAGCTGGAAGCCATGAACAAATCTTTGACCCATTTCTTTGTTTTATCGTTATTTGTGAAACAGGCAGTCTGGACTTAGATGTGTGTAAAGTATAATATCATAGTCATATCTGACCAGGGAGATGAACAGCAGATGAGGCGAGCCATATAGTCTCGAAAACTTGCTGTTCAGCCTAAGCCCCGTGGGATCTGAAGTAGCGAATCAAATCCGGTCCCGATAGGTTAGGCGTCCTATCGAACCGGACAACAGCAAAGCTGCCCCTACCACCAAAGTTGGATAGTGGTCGTGGTGGCGGGGCTCGAACCTCGGACCGTTGAGGTCCAAAGCACATCGGTGACAGCAACTAAACTACTGCGTCACCAACACCATCGGTTATAACGGCAATGTAAACAGTTCAAGTGTTCACTAGCGCCCTACCTGCACGGTTGTCCGGGACATTTTTGGGACTCATGAAACCGAACAAGGCTGGTGTACACGAAGTGTACGTCACATTCATGTTATCCACATACCATTTTATTCGACACATCGTGATCAGATCGAAGAAGATCAGGAGGAATCTTTATTATCTTCGTACAGCGAACTACGGGGAGACATGAACTTCACCGATCACTGCTAAATTCCCCTCGTCTTTGCGAGCCAGACTTTCAAGTCAAGTATTTCGTGCCCTACAACCCTAGGCGTTTGGAAAAACCTTTTTTCCAATCTGTCTAGTTCTTCCTTTCAATCTCAAATAATTCTAGATGCATCCTATTTGCCGAGGCAGATATTAGATGAAATAGAATCAATGGTAGTCAAACTGAGACCCAGCAGGAGGATATAAAAACCAGGAAACTTGGTCACGTTAGACTTTCCGAATGCGGGACCTCGGGAACATTGCAATTGATGCTTAGAGACACCGAGTGTCGTTTGCATTGATACTCGTGCTTCTCAATTGTTTCGCAATCGTACTTTACTGAAATTCTCCCATTTTATCTTTGTCTCTACATTCAACTTGTCTATCTTCTTCCTCCTACTTCGTCCAACTGGACGACCAGAGACCGGCAACCAAAACCGACCTCCATAGATTACGTTGGCTGGGACGTGTGTTACGCATGTCACCAGGTAGGTTACCACAGCGAGCGATGTTCGCCGAAACAGATACCGAGTGGAAAAAAGCCAAGGGTGGTCAAGTTAAGACCTGGCTCGAGGGTATTAAAACCTTAACCAGGAGTCTGGGTCACGTGGGCTCTGTTAGGCTCCCTGGCTGGGGACCTCGGAATGATCGTAACCGATGATTAGAGACACTGAGCGATATGGCTGGGTGTCTTCGAACAGTGGCGTTCGTGCATCTTTTCAATCTGTTTGCAACCTTAGACCACTGAACTTCTCCATTTTCTTTTCGACTCCACTTTCCTTTCTCCTATTCTTCGTCCAAATGGGCGACCAGAAGACAGTCAACCAAAACCACCCTCACAAAAGAGGGGTATGCATGATTAATGGGTATACAGGCTAAACTAATCACTGCCCAATTCGCAACGCATACATAATTACTAAGAATGTGTAGTAACGTGTGTACAGTGATGGGGGGCCTACTCCCGCTGCCGTCAGTTCGTTGCCACGTCTTTCGGTGTCTTTATCCGTAAACTTAAAGACGAGAAACACTCACCTAAGCTAATAGTTGTGTTCATTTGTTCATTCCCCCGTATCCACGTGTTTCTCTCCTGCTTCTAATGGCTACTGTAGATAAGGGATAGATCGGTTGTGCATTGTCGTCCATCGGGTACATTTTTGATAAATTTCTGCTGGTAACTGTTTGCGATTCGTGATTCACCTTTCAGTTTCAGTTCAATTCGTACAACCATTAACCATGCACTATCGTGCACCGGAGAAGAAAGGAAAGTCGAAAGTGGAATCGAAAAAAATGGAGAAGTTCAGTGGTCTAAGGCTGCAAATAGATTGGGGAGATGCACGAACGCCACTGTTTACGACACCCAGCCATATCGCTCAGTGTCTCTAACCAGCGGTTACGATGCACGAACGCCACTGTTTACGACACCCAGCCATATCGCTCAGTGTCTCTAACCATCGACGATTCGAACAGAAAATGGAGAAGTTCAGTGGACTAAGGTTGGAAAGAAATTGAGAAGATGCAAGCCACTGGTTGCGACACCCAGCCATATCACTCAGTGTCTCTAACCATCGGTTACGATCATCCCGGGGTCCCCAGCCAGGGAGCCTAACGGGACTCAGTCCCCTGATCAGGGTTTTCATACCCTCATGCCAGGTCTTAGCTTGACCACCCTTGGCTTTTGTCCACTCGGTGTCTGCTTCGGCGAACATCGCTCGCCGTGGCAACCTATCTGGTGAAATGCGTAACACATGCCCCAACCAACGTAGTCTATGCAGGTCGACCACTTGCTCCAGTGGGCGACCACGGATACCCAAAACTGCGATTCACCTCAGCATTGCTCATCCGGTTACCCCACCAGATTCGTGTAATGCTGCGTAGACAGCGGTGTTCAAACACCAACAGTCTATCTTTACCCTGTTTTCGTAATGGCCAAGTTTCTGCGCCGTATGGCAGAATTGGCGAAACTGCCGCGGCATACACTCGATCCTTTAGAGACAGCCAAATGTCGTGACGGTGCCACAGATGTTTCAAGTTGGGAAGTGCCAATCGAGCCCTATGTATGCAACCTGACACTTCATCCTTGATGCATCCACCAGGTGAGATGTAGCTGCCTAACTAGCAAAACTTATCCACTTGCTCTATTACTTCCCCAGTTAGAGTGAGGCTGGGTGCTGGGACCAACTCAGTCTTGTGGTAAAATTTTACACTTTGAAGGTGCAAAACGCATACCGAATAGGG